GCCCCCCTGACGTCAGCCCCCTGCAGCCGCGAGCTCCTCACTTGGCTCTCGCCCTCCGGCCGGGAAGCATGGAACTGCCCTGGCTCCTCTGCGCCTTCTTGCTCGCCGCCTGCTGCTGCTGTCGCCGCGCCGCGGGTGAGGGAGTGCTCTGGGGGGCGGGGGCCAGAGGTCTTTGGCGGAGCGTGCTGGGGAGCGGAGCTGGCCGCGCGCGCGGCGTCGGAGCTTTGCGCCCCAGCGGATTCTCCTTCTCCCCGGATCCTCGGGACCCGGGCGCCTTGTGCGCATGCAACTCTTCTTTGCAGCCAGTTTGCAGCCTCGAGTCTAGAGAACCCCGGGAGCAGGACAGGGGAGGCGGGGAGGAGGCTGCTGCCGGGAGCGGGAAGGGGTGGAGCCGAGCCTGTCGGGGCGCTGGGGCTTTTCCCTCAGGTGCCTACTCTGGGGCGGCGCAGCTAGAGCGCATCCCCAAATCCTGAACTCCGCGCCCGCCTGTTGCTGGAAAAGGCAGCCTCCTTAGCTGGAGGGGGTTCGCCGACCCCTCCCCCTCCCGCCTGGGCATCGAGCCAGGCTGGAGGTGAGAGCGGGGGAGGGACGGCGGCTCCCGCCTGAGCTGGGCGTTGGCAGAGGCTGAGGGGCAGTGTGGGTTGCCTCGCACCACCCGGGAGGATGGGATCACAGGGGACCACAGGTGGGAGACGAGGAATGGAGGATTCTCCTAGTGCAAGCGCGCACAGACTTATTTTGGGGACCGCATTCGGTGGGAAGAGCGCCCGGGCATCTCGGAGCTTTTCTCTGGAACCTCCTAGTAGCTCGGCGCCCAGGGGCCACGCTGCCCTTGTATGGCCCGCAGCGGTGTCGCGAGTTTCTCTCGGCCCCCTTTCCTTGAGCCCAGCCACCGTCCGGCTGGGGAAGGGGAGGGCTAGGCAATACCCAGTTCGCTGGCCTCATGCCCAGTGCCAACTGCGTCCCTGGGGTACTCCAGGCTCCTCCTCCCAGGCTGATTTTATTTCTGGGGAAAGGGCTAAATAGGCTTCACAGCTGCAGCAGGTCCAGCCCCGCCCTACCCTGCCATTCTAGCTCCGTGGAAACGGAGTTAGGGATCTAAAGATCACTCCACTTGCCCTCCTTGTCGTGGAGCCAGCCCAAGGCAGCAACCCAGGCATCCCAGAGTCCAGCCAGATGGTGCTGAGTGACATCACCTCCTCACAGAGCTGGCAGCACGCTGGCACTGCTGATGTCACTCCCGCCCATTGCCTGGCCCTTGTCTTGACCCCTGGAGGAGACTCTGACCCCTCCATACTCACCAGGCTCCCAGGATGGGGTCCCCTGAGTGTGTGTGTGAAATGTTCATTGAGGTGCTGCTTAGGGAGTATGAAATGGAGCTTCCGGCTGGAGTCGGCCCACTGGGTCTTATGAAAGATTTAGGGAGGGGATTGTGGGGGGCAGAGAGTAAAGTAGTGATGTCTCCCTCGGGGGTGGGGACACAAAGGGGCCTGTGTGCCCCAGCCTGGCACATGCCTCACATTCCCATATTCTGAGTTCACTCGTAGAGGAGGGGGCCTAGAAGGAAAGGAGCCTTCCACTTGGCCCAGAGCCTGGGTTGCCCCTCTCTGCCCCTCTGCCAGCCTCATCTGGGAGGTGACCGGTGTTGTCTCTGCTCCAGGGACCAGGGATCCCCCTAACTGAGACAGAGCTGGCCTGGGGTAGGTCAGTGGGTAGGCAGTGGTTGAGGGTGAGGAGAAGACAGGGCCCTCTTCAGACCCTCCAGGTGGCAGGAGGAGCAGCTGCAGTGAGCAGCACGGGGGAGGAAGGGAGAGCTGCTGCAGCTGACACAGCTGCTGGGGTGCTTCTCCTCCCTCCCCCAGGTGTGCCTGGAGAGGCGGAGCAGCCCGCGCCCGAGCTGGTCGAGGTGGAAGTGGGCAGCACGGCCCTTCTGCAGTGTGGACCCCCCCGTTCCCAAGGCAACCTCAGCCATGTGGACTGGTTTTCTGTGAGTGCTCAGGGTCCTGAGAGAGCGGCCAGGGGTGGGAAGCTCTGCCCCTCATGTAGCCCCTGGACCCTCACCTCCTGTCTGTCCCCTGCCCTTAGGTCCACAAGGAGAAGCCCACACTCATCTTCCGTGTGCGCCAGGGCCAGGGCCACAGCGAACCCGGGGAGTACCAGCACCGGCTCAGCCTCCAGGGCAGAGGGGCTACTTTGGCCCTGACTCAAGTGACCCCCCATGATGAGCGCATCTTCCTGTGCCAGAGCAAGCGCCCTCGGTCCCAGGAGCACCGCATCCAGCTCCGTGTATACAGTGAGTGCCCCTGGTTCCTGCCTTCTGGGCAGTGTATGTCATGCAAAGTGGTGATCTTGGACCCCTCCTCATTTCTCATCCGTTGTAGAAGCTCCAGAGGAGCCAACCATCCAGGGCAGTGTCTCGGGTATCCCTGTGAACAGTGAGGAGCCTGAGGAGGTGAGATGCCGGATGGCCGCGGGGGTGAGCAGGAGCTGAGGTGGGGCTTGGTGGGGTTTCAGAGGCAGGGAGACCCACACCCTGTCCTCCCCAGGTTGCCACCTGTGTGGGGAGGAATGGGTACCCCATTCCTCAAGTCATCTGGTACAAGAACGGTCGGCCACTGAAGGAGGAGAAGAATCGTGAGTAGCCCTCTCTGCTCTTGGAAGCCACACCAGTGGGACCGCACACGGGTGGCTTCACATTGCCCTCCAGCTTTTTACTTTTTTTAAAAAACTAATGCTTGAAAATATTTTCACAAGAATTTTTTTTTTTTTTTCACAAGAGTTTAAACTGTATAGAAAATAAAGGAAGAAAAGTTCCTGTCTGCCCCAGATCCCCTCCAAGGATTTAACATCAGAAGGATATGTACCAGAAGATCCTGTGCATCTGGGAAAAGCTGGTGATTTGGAAAAGAAGACAAGGACAAAAACAGAGAGATGGAGGTGTCCTTTCAAGCTTCTGTCGGTGTATTTACTCACACATATAAATATACCTGTAAATATGTGGGCTTTGTTTTTTATTATCTAAGTCAGTGGTTCTTAACCAGGGGTGATTTTGCACCCTCCCCCCACCCCAGAGGATATTTGGCAATGTCTGGGGATATTTTTGGTTGTCACAAGTAGAGGGGGTGTTAGTCGCATCTAGTGGGTAGAGTTAGCGAGGGATGCTGCTCACATCCTGCAGGGTACAGGACAGCCCCACGATAAAGAATGAATCTGGCCCAAAATGTCAATAGTGCTGCGGTTTAAACACCTTAATCTAAGTGCCATTGTATGGTGTACATTGTGATACAATTTCTTTTGTATAATCTTTCCAGATCAGCCTATTTACCTGTTTTGCCTACTGCTGAGTTTTTCGTACCGTGTACATAATGTAGTGTAGTTAACCACTCCCCTGTTAGCAAAGGCTTCTCGTTTTCCTTATCACTGCAACATTTTTTGCACACATTCTCGTATATGTGCTGATGTGTAGATGTTTTTCTAGTGTAGATTCCTAGCAGTAAAAGTGCTGGCTTGAAAGGTCACCAGCTTGCATTTGTACCTGGCCCTCTACAGGGAGCAGGGGTCTCGGTAGATGCTCCCCCACCAACCCCTGTGGAGACCAGGGGGGGGTTGGAGGTGGGGCTGAGGCTGAGCCTTTCTTCCTCCCTGTCCAGGGGTCCACATTCAGTCATCCCAGATCGTGGAGTCGAGTGGTCTGTACACCTTGCAGAGTGTTCTGAAGGCACAGCTGGTAAAGGAAGACAAAGATGCCCAGTTTTACTGTGAGCTCAACTACCGGTTGCCCAGTGGGAACCACATGAAGGAATCTAGGGAAATCACCGTTCCCATTTTCTGTGAGTGCTGACTGTCCCTCTGCTCGTTGGACTGGGCCTGGTGGAAACTCCAGTGAGCCCCTCCCCATCCAGGCCAGAGTCAATTCTTGAGCTGAGAGCTCCCCTCTTTGCCTGTGCAGATCCAGCAGAAAAAGTGTGGCTGGAAGTGGAACCTGTGGGAATGCTAAAGGAAGGAGACCGTGTGGAGATCAGATGCTTGGCTGACGGCAATCCACCGCCCCACTTCAGCATCACCAAGAAGGTGCGGTGAGCTTGTGCTCGGTGCAGATGGGGATACGAGCAGGGACGTGGGCAGGGATGCAGGCAGAGCAGCCAGAGGGGCGCTCTGCTCACCGCTCATCCTCCCCCAGAACCCCAGCACCAGAGAGATGGAGGAAGAGATAAGCAACGACGATGGGATCCTGGTCTTGGACCCAGCCCAGAAGGAGCATAGCGGGCTCTATGAATGTCAGGGCCTGGACTTGGACACCTTGTTATCACTGCAAAGTGAACCACAGGAGCTGCTGGTGAACTGTGAGGGGCTGGGGCTCAGGACGGGGGACCCGGCCAGGGAATGAGGGAACTAGCCCTGCCCTGCCCAGGCTGACACTACTGCTGTGCCTCCAGATGTGTCTGATGTCCAAGTGAGTCCCGCAGCCCCTGAAAGCCAGGAAGGCAGCAGCCTCACCCTGACCTGTGAGGCAGAGAGTAACCAGGCCCTCAAGTTCCAGTGGCTGAGAGAGAAGGTGCCCAGGCGGGTCTGGGGCTGTGGGGCAGGGGGCTATCAGGTGGGTGGGGCTGGGGGGAAACAACAGCTTGCTCCTTCCCAGACCCTCTGACTCGTCTCTCACCCCAGACAGGCCAGGTGCTGGGAAATGGGCCTGTGTTCCAGTTACACAACTTGAAACGGGAGGCAGGTGGAGGCTACCGCTGTGTGGCATCTGTGCCCAGCATACCTGGCCTGAACCGCACCCAGCTGGTCAACGTGGCCATTTTTGGTGAGGCCCTCTGGGCAGAGACCAGGTCACCCCAACTTGGGTGGTTTCAAGCTCTCTGAGGGTAAAAATCCACCCGCTGCCCTGGGGAGCTCTGGTGAGGAGGGGGAGGCAGACTAGCTGAGTGTGCTGCCCACTCTTCTTACCTCCCCAAGGGCCCCCGTGGATGGCACTAAAGGAGAGGAAGGTGTGGGTGAAGGAGAACACACTGGTGAATCTGTCTTGTGAAGCATCAGGATATCCGCGGCCCACCATCTCCTGGAATGTCAATGGCACGGTGAGCAGGCTTATCTCAGCTTGCCATGCACCCATTAATCCCTGGCCAGGCGTGGTGGCCGTGACCAGAGATCCTCCCCACCCCCTCAGCTGCCTCCTTCCTTGTAGGCAAGTGAACAAGACCAAGATCCGCAGAGTGTCCTGAGCACCCTGAGTGTCCTCGTGACCCCAGAGCTGCTTAAGACAGGCGCTGAATGCAAGGCCTCCAACTCCCGGGGCAAAAACACCACCACCATCTTCCTGGAGCTGGGTGAGGGCCACATCCCTGCAGAGGATAGTAGGGGCACACCCAGGCACGGGCATTAACCTATGCTGCTCCTCATCCACCTCCCTCTGCCTCCTAGTCAGTTTCACGACCCTCACACCAGACTCCAGCAAAACCACTGGCCTCGGCACCTCCACTGTCAGTCCTCATGCCAGAGCCAACAGTACCTCCACAGGTAAGTGGGCCTGGCAAAAGAACAGGGCCATGCCAGGGCAGCCTCTTTCTTTTTTTTTTTTTTTTTTAAGATGACCAGTAAGGGGATCTTAACCCTTGGCTTGGTGTTGTCAGCACCACGCTCTCCCGAGTGACCTAACCAGCCATCCCTATATAGGGATCTGAACCCGTGGCCTTGGTGTTATCAGCACCACACTGTCCCAAGTGAGCCACGGGCCAGCCCCAGGGCATCCTTTCTGCCCTGGCCCTCCGCAGGGAGCCCTGTTGAGAAAGGTGAGTGGTGGCCCATCTTCTGTCATCCCTGGGCAGGGTGGGGCAGTGATGGTGACATGGCCACCTGGGGCAGGGAATGACTAGGAGTGTCTTTGTGGGACAGAGAAGAAGCTGCCTGAGGTGGAGAGCAAGGGCGTGGTCATCGTGGCTGTGATTGTGTGCATCCTGGTTCTGGCTGTGCTGGGCGCCGTCCTCTACTTCTTCTACAAGAAGGGCAAGCTGCGGTGTGGGCGCTCAGGCAAGCAAGAGATGTAAGCAGGACGCCGGCCCCCGTCACCCCCTCCCCATCTCCTGCTGGCCCAGCTTGCTGCCTACTTAGGAACATTCCCTGGCCTGCCCTAATGCCCTCCCACCCCTGGATCAGAGTGCTCCCCGCTTACCACCTAGCACTCAGTTTCCATCAACCATACATCTACTGCCATTACTGTTTACCTTCCTGAGCTAGCACCAAAGAGCCCATCATCCATCCCAAGTCCTTCCCGGCAGGCCTTCCCCTTCCCTTGCCCCAGTTGCCAACCTCTCGCCTCCCTCCCTCCTCCCAGCACGCTGCCCCCGTCTCGTAAGAGTGAATTTGTAGTTGAAGTTAAGTCAGATAAGCTCCCAGAAGAGATGGGCCTCCTACAGGGCGGCAACGGTGACAAGAGGGCTCCAGGAGACCAGGTAGGAGGCAGTTCCTGTGGCCAGTCACAGCTTCAGGGATTGGGGGCAACACGGGCTAACAGTTCTCGTTCCCCGAACACTAACCCTTTCATCCGTCATCCTTTGCTGGAGACAGGGAGCAGGCCCCATTTTGCCTTCTTAACAGTTCCCACAGATGGCAGGGCGAGGCAAGTGGCTGAGGGACCCTAGACAAAGACTGAGAGTAAAGACCTTTTCTGAACAGTGCCTGTGGCTCCGGTCAATAGGCGTGAAGTGTGGCCTCTGTTTCCCAGTGCAAAGTCAGATCTGGGGCTGTGTCTCCTTCCCTGGCCATCACACCCATCCCTTGCTTTTTCCCAAGGCCGCTGCACCAAGTCAACCAGCTTCTGCTTCGGTCACTCCTTCCACATAGTGCTCACACCTGCAACGCTGATCACTATCTCCATGTTTCCCCTTCTATCTACCCGTCTTCAGGGAGAGAAATACATCGATCTGAGGCACTAGCCGCTGAAGCCCACTCAGGTCCCTTCCCTGCCTGGAATGTCTGCGGCTCGCTGCTCACTCTTCTGCCGTCAACGCCTCCAAAGGGATTACAGAGAAAACCCCTGCTCCAGCTCACCTGCAGACCTCTTCAGAGGGCTAATGGGCTAGGACAGAGCTGTCCAGAGAAGGACCTCCCTTGGCCCTGGAGGCCCCCTTTTCAGGGACCAGTCCACCATTGTCTCTGTTGAGTGAAGCTCATCCCAAGGAAAGGGGCCTCAGTCTCCCAGGAGTGGTGGGTAGGAGAGTTTCTTGCAGAACATATTTTCTCTGTACACATACTCATATTATGGCTGTAAATACCTGTCTGCTGCCTGCAGCTGAGTTGGGTATCCTCCTTGTGAGCTGGTTTCCCGCCCCAAAAGCTGGCTTCAGTGAATCAGCTGCAGCACTGGAGTGAAGATGCACTAGGGCCCAGGCGCCTGTTTGCTGTCCAAGTATGTTGCTTACAGTGCTCTGGAGAGTGCCCCAGCAGCATCTAGAAGCAGCTGCAGTGTTGCTGCTGCCACCTTCCTGCCTGCCTCTTCAGTCTCTTTTGTGACATTTTTTCTTGGGCAGAAGCCAGGGACTAGTGTCATTCCTTAAAAGATACATCCCTGCAGTGAGGAAGCTGGGCACCATTTGGAGTTTGAGTGATTGAGCCTGATCCCCCTGCATTCATTTGGCTCCCACTATTCATTTGATCCCACAGGGATCATGTGAGACTGAAAGGTGGTGGTAGGGAGGGTAGGGGACAAATATGATGTCCAGACAGTCTTTATGGGGACTAAGGCTATAGTTATATTAGCAACAAACTAATACAGACTGGGCTAATGGGCCCAGACCCTAGGATAAGGGCTCAAATGGAAGAATTTGGGATAAAAAACAGGGGCCTGACCAGAGCTTTGGGGTGGATGTATGTGTGTCCGTGTGTGTGTGCACGTGTGTGTGCACGTGTGAGTATATTATATATATATATATGGTTTGTTAGGTTGTATGTAAATTTGCAGATTTCCTTTTTATATATATATGAGAAAAATAAAGCTTAATTGTTCCCAAAATCTTATTGCTTTTTATTTGTCACGGGTACCACAGGAACCTAGGGGCCTCTGGAATCACAACTGCACCAAAAGAGACACAAAATCCTTTGTAGTCAGTAGCAGGGACTAGGGGTTTCTTCTGAGCAAATGGTTCAGGCTCTACCACACAGAGGACAGTTACCCTACTTCTCAGAAACAATGCTGCCCTGCTTGAGGCAGTTTGCAGGGCCTGGCAGGCTGTTGGACAGAAGCTGTGCCCCCTATGATTTCCTGTCACTCAGAATTGCCCTCGAGGCGGCAGACTCACTGTGATGAAGAAGTGGGCCTGGGCATTTGGTCCTACAGCTATCCCGTGTATCAGCCCCCCAGACCCTGAATGAGCAAGAACTCAAGTCTGCTACAACAAAAGAAACTTTATTTAAAAATACTTTTTTACAGACATGGGTGCTTGAAAAAGCTCTTTAGTTAAATGTGTATGGAAATGAAAAAAATTAATAAATAACATTAGTATAACAGACCTCTAAACATTAATAAACTGGCAAAACAAAATGGACTTAAAATGAAAATGAATCTTAAAGCTCTGCTATTCTCTGTAAGAATATTTACCTTCTGTTTTTCTTACTTTTTACAGGTGAGAATGATTAAATACTGCTATATAAATTTTTTTATATTAATGACATATTTTTAAATTAGTCCATGAAAATCTCATCTAAGTGTTTGTTTTGTTTTCTTCTTAACACTGATATACAAACTGGGACTCTTCAATCAGGGGAAAGTTTTCTCCAGCCCCACCCAGGCCAAGAATTTCAAAATCTTGATTAAGGAGGACTTTAAAAGAGTAATTTCTATCTCCTGATTCTTTATTCATTAAAGGCAGGGAAGAACTGAGGAAAGGGTAAGAGACGAGTAAAATGTCATTAGAATGAAAACATTTTTCTTTTCTTTTCTTAGCTGAAACTGCTATGGGGGCACAATACTGAGGACAGGCTTCTGGTATGTGTTCCTTGCTGCCCTTCCCTGGGGAAAACTAGACCCTGCAAAGGGCACTAGCTACTTAATGCTTTAGTCTGAAGCCTTCACATGAAAGGCAAGCCGAGTCTGAAGGGAGAGGCAGGGGGTCTAGGCTGGTTCAGGATCCAGCAAACTGAAAAGACAAAAAACAAACGACCTTCCCTTTTCAAAAGAGTCCATCCTATGCTTCTCCACACAGCTGGGTCATTAATATGGTCAGGAGGCTGCGACACTTGGAATGGTCCAGAGAATACCTGGAAATTGTGGAACATTCTGTCTCTCCTTGGAAGAGATAAAGCATTCGACCAGATAACTAAGCTTCTGACTGGAATCAACCAAATGATTCCAGGGTACAATGCTTTCTTCCAATGACACATCACGGCAGGGAAAAGGACCGCTGACACACTGCACCTGTGTGCCGCCTCTGCAGCCACAGAGAGCACTCCTTCCTGTCCCAACTCTAGGGACTAATGATACTCAAGGTAGAGGAGCTCAGACTCTGGTATTTCCATATTAAGTCCTAAAATGCAGCCTGGGATACAGTGCTGCCTTAGAAAGGCACAAAACGTTTGGCTTTTTTTTTTTTTTTTTCCAGTGTGCTAAAAATTGTTTTGTTTTGAATAAAGGAAAAAGATATATAAGGGTAAAAATCCCAAGTCACCACAGCCAGAAAGCAGATGTAGGAGGTACCTCATAGCTGCTATGCCCCTACCATGTGTTTCAGCGGGAAGTCAGGCTTTTCTTTCAAGGCCAAGACACTAACACAGTACTGGGCAGAGTAGGTCAGAAGGCATCTACTCTCATGGGCATTGTGCTGCAGGCTTACTCACCCAGACAGCAGAAGAGGCCATGGAAGAGAGCATGCAGTGTACAGACTCCTATGTAGTTCTGTGCCTCTTCAGTTTCAAGATAGCTGTAAGCATGCCCTACCCTCACCCAGAACTGGGTCAGAGGTAGGTAGGGAGGTGGGAGCTGACACATAGGAACCCTGTGCACCTACTTCAGGGCCTGAGCATGGAGGTGGCACAAGGCCCAAGGAATTGCACACAGCATGCACTGAGCCTCCCACCTGGTTTGCACTGAGCATCCCACCTGGTTCAGGGGCAGGAGAACTTGTGAGAGGCAATGTGGAGGGTCCCTCACATTCATTTTTGGGATTAACTCAAGAATATGGGGCCAGGCAATCAGAACTCTGGTGACCTATTCGGCTGCCAGATCAGTAGGAGATCTGAGGTTGGCTTTAAGCCTTTGTACAAACACAGGGAGTGGTCAGCCACATTTTTCTCAAGCATTGTACTAGGGAAGGGGCAGCAAAATCTCCAAACAGCTGTTAGTCTGTTAGTCAACAGCTGGCCCTTCGACATGGTGCTTTCCATTAAACTAGGAATGAATGTGCAGGGCTTGCTCTCCCTATCCCTATTCTCTCCATTTTTTACTCTTGTGCTACTTTCTAGAACCAAGAAACGTGGTACCTTCCCCTTGGAACCCACCCAGATTTCCTGGGACACTGTGAAGGCACATGCACTGCTGTCCCTCTGCTCCTTAATTTGGGGGCCTAGACTAGAACATGAAATGCAAAGTCTGATGACCCACCCTTTCTCATGTGCCTCGATGTGTATCTTTGGACTATTAAGTTACTTCTGTGTATATCAGATGACTCTAGTAGTTTAAAAAAGTTATGAGTAAGGCAGTATGAAATGCCTTACAACTCAATACAGGCTCCAGGATGAGATAAATAAGATCAAAACATTCAGGTACGCAGAAGCATAGTTTTAAGAAACTAAAAAATAAAAGCTTTAATATAGGACTAAAAAGAAAGCAATTGGACAGGAAAGACACAGGTAACCTATCTAAAGAGCTCTCAGTAAAAACCTATTCTAAACTGGAATCTGTATGTAATCTATATCCTGGCAACTGTCCCAGCTATTATATACTCTTTCTGGCTCTAGCAAAGTCATTTCTGAGGTACCTAGGAAGCCTTGCCTAAGAACATTACTGCAGAGCTCCCCTCACACAGGAAGGTGCAAATGAGAGGCTAAGAGGAAGGTTTGGAGAAGACATGCCATGGGCCCACAGAATGCATACATTTTCAGCACTAAAACCTGAAGAGAGCCCAGAAGTCCACAGGCAGTGGCTATAATGGAATCCGTGATCTGCTCTCTATAAATAACATGAAAGAAGGCAAAAGACCTGAGGTTAAATGGAGGCTAAGGAACGCCACCCAGGAACCGATTAGCTCTGGAACAGGTGAGACTGGTCCTAAAGTCCACAGGCAGTGGCTATAATGAAATCCGTGATCTGCTCTCTATAAATAACATGAAAGAAGGCAAAAGACCTGAGGTTGAATGGAGGCTAAGGAACGCCACCCAGGAACCGATTAGCTCTGGAACAGGAGAGACTGGTCCTGAAGAGGGAGGTAAGAAATCTTGGATACCAAGACTGATAATGGGAAGAAAAACAGGAAATAAACAACAAAGATAGTGACCAGAATTAAGTTAAACCTAAGAATTTTCTTGATGTCCCAGACACATTCCCATGGCTGCCTTAGAGTAGAAATCTTTTTAGGGTGTCTACTCAGTCTGTGCCCTCTTCTCTGAGAACCTCCCCATCTCCCAGCTGAAGGAGTGTGCCACTGCTGCTCTGTCTTTGCTGTCCCTGGCAAGGCCAACCAGACAGGAGTAGATACTGATCAATGTGCTGGGCTGAGCATATTCTTTGTTAAGAATGTGAACTAAGAGGAATTGGGAATCTGTTCATGGTGATCCCAAGAGTAGAAGGTGGTGTGAATTTGAGGATGAGGGTGCCTATTTTAGGTCCATACATGTCGATAAACAGGTTGTAAAGTGCAAAGTTTACAGTTCCAGCTCCATGAAAGAACCAACCGTACTTCCTATCCTAGGTCCCACAAGACACTCTGCATCCTTATAATGACTCCCTCCTTATAATGACTCCCTCCTTTCTTTAGCTTGAATATTTCTGTTTCTTGCATCCAAAGGGCCCCTAACCAGGAGAGTCAAAAACACAACCTCAACTTTTCTTCTACTGTCCACCCTCCTCCATGCATGAAGTGGCTATATGCACTCCGAAAGAAAGACTGCTAATGTAGATTGGGATCAAAGAAGTGATAGTAATGTTTTATGCTGAGTTAGAATACTTTAGATTGAATTACTAAAGCTTTAAGGTCTAGTAGAATGATGTGTTGATACTAAGCTCTAGGGTCTCTAAGATCCCTACTCTGGGAGGTAAAGGCTGACATTTAGAGAACTGTCTGGCTCTTGGAAGACCAGACAACTGGCTGACGATCAGAACCCAAAGACAGGTACCCACACCTCCAGCCCTTCTAAAACACAGAATTGCTGCAAAGGTTGTTTAAGGATTGGAAAACAAATTCCAAACAGTATCGGAGATGGTGACAGGTCCCAGAAGGGTGATAAGTAAACCTTCCCAACAAGGGGGATTACTGTTGGATTCCCAACAGTAGCTCAGTAAAAAGATCAAGGAAGGCACTAGATTGGAAAGCAGATTGTGGACAGATGCTTTGCTTAAACATTTAATGCCCTACTGTGTAATTCTGAGACAACACACCCCACAATCAACCAAAAAGATTCCACTGAAATACCTAAAAATGGTAAATAGCCATAAGACTTACACTAAGGAATCTTCCAGACATTTTCAAAGCTATAGGAAGACAACAGGGGTTAATGATTTTAACCAAGGCAGCTCTATAAGGAAAGGTAAAGTCTACATAAAAGAACTGTGAATGAAAACTACACAATCCTATTGGGAAGAGCTATTTTAGGATAAAATGCAAATGCAGAACCAAATAAAATCTCCCAAACATTAGTAACCCACCATGTGGTGGCAGGGAAGGACATATAGCTGACATTTCTGGCACATGGTAATCAAACATGTGCTGAATGAACAAACAAATAGTCACAGCCAGGCCCATGGTCAGAATACTCTTATTCAATGGACAGTGGCCATTCCAGGATCAGAAAGGTCAACGGTGAGAAGGGGCTTTACAGTTAGGCAAGAAGGTCTATGACCTTCTGACTTTCATAGTGTGAGGTAGGAGAGTATTTCGCATTAACACCATTGCTGATCACCTACGAAAAGGACTAGACCTTGTTAATGGTGCCTTAAAGGGAATATATAGCTGGTCCCTAGTTTTCAAGTAAGTTGTGTTACAAAAATTTATTTGTAAGCTTGCTGTTTGGACCACAAAACTTTTCTACAGAGGAAATAAATATCTTAAGTATGAATAATAGCAACCCTCCCCCCCCAATTTTTTTTTAATCCACAAAACTGCTAAATGATACTAATGGTACTATCGCACATCTTGGGCCCTGGTGATGTGAGTCTGTGGAAGAAGAGAAAGGGAAGAGAAGAATGGCAGAATAAGTAGAGTGGGGCTGAGGAGGAAAAGAGAAAGAGCTATCCACAGGTAGAGATCACTATTTACATAAATATTAACAGATAAATGTTGAGACGATAAACTGCCCAGTCTATTATTTAACTAAAGGGAGGTATACCATAGAGCCCACAGGTTTTTAACACCTGCGGAAAAAGTATGGAAAGAGTATGGGAAAGGGTATGGGAGGGGCTGCTGGAAAAGTCCAGTCGTGGCAGCTACAAAGCAGCGACCCAGTTAGCATTGAGGGAGGCTATGGAAAGCAACTCAGGCAGACACAGGGAAAGCAGGAAACTGGGTTGGATAAAATAGCCTGATGAATTTGATAAAAAGGAAAACACCAGTCATCATTTTGACTTATCAAACACTTGTAATTAGGAGGGGGAAAGGAGATGGGTTTGCCAAAGATGGCAAAACTCAAAATAAAGCCTGTTCATGAAAGGGCAGTTTTAGTTAAATTCAGAGCAGAGCCAAAGAATTTAAAGTTGCCATACAAATGGAGGGTGAAAAATGGGTTATTGGTGACTTAGTCAAAGGAAAATATAAGAAATTAAAGTTTTGAGAATATCCTCAAAACAAGAGCCACGTGAAAACCTTCCTGAGGCTGGCCTGGCAATCTCAGGAATGGACTCAGGTGTGTTCTCAGAGCACCCAGTCAAAGAAAAGACCCTCACAAAATGTTCCAAAACCTTGAATGCCTGCAGGGACATGTGACAAACTAATACCCAAGCCAATCAACAGTGCACCTGCTCAACACAGGGATCTGGAACTTCAGTTTCCGGGCTGACTTGAAGATCACACAGGTACTCAGGAAAGGAAAGGAAGAAACTGCTCACAGCCTACATGGTGTGGACAACATCTCCACGAAAGATGATGTGAATGCTCTGAAAAGGCAAAAGATACATAGCCAGTGCTTTGTTTTCCTGACAGAACCTTCAACTATGGGCACTATCTGCGGTAAAAGAAAAACTACATGGATAGGCCTGGAACTGCTGCCATCTTTTCTAGTTCTTTATCTAGGTCTTCAACATTCAAACAAAATGCAAAACTGAATTTTACCTCAAATGAAACGCTATACTGCATTTCAGAAGTAGACAGTAGCTTGTTTCCTAGTCACTGTCATTCTCCCCTGCCCTTCCACCCCCATTCAGGATGTCCTGCACCTGCTGGTGGGCTATGTTGTTTTCTCCCATGCAGAAAAGACACTGGGTAACCATGGCAAATCAACACACAGTCCTGTACTGTCTACTCTGGGAATTTAAATGGCTCTGAGGCAAAAGGGTAAAACCAAAAGATCTAGGAGCAACTGAATGCCAAGAGAAGAACTAAAAAAAGTTTTAGCTCCAAAGATAACAAGACTGAAAAGAAAATTGGTCAAAGGAGGGTCATTTCTGTATGGACCTAAAGACAAAAGTGTGATTTAGATTCTGAGGACGGCAGATTTATCAGAGCAGGCTTGCTTCTGACAAGGAGGGTTACAGGCTGCTGGGGAAGTCAGCACTGGACAGAGAGCTACCTGAACTCAAGGGACCATTCAGCAGTCTCTAAAGGAAATGACTAACTAGAATATGAATCTTCCTTATGAACTTGCAATTACACAAATGGCCAGCCTTTTCCCATATTGTCTTTGACTATAGTGAAGGAATTTATTTCATCAAATGATGTCTAACTGCTATAGAGAACACAGTAATTAAAGAGAGTATATAGGACCTAAGGTGAATTGGAAAGGGGAAGGAAAGGAAGAGATGTTACATTTCAAAAGCCATAGGCACAAGAGAAAACGAAGTCATTGGGTGGCCCCAATGTAGGAAAGGTGCTAATCATCAGCAAATGCTGTGCTACCTTGGGTGGTACCCCCACTCCTTAAAGGGCAAAGAAAAAAAATCATTTCTGAAAATCTACCCTGGCTTATTATGTTCAAAGGGAGGCACCCATATAAGCTGAAATTAATTTATTGGGGAATAAAAACTAAACAGATAAATCTTCATTGTCTATTTTGTGCACTTAAGTAGCATGTGAATGAAGCTTCCTAAAAGCTTCGTGGTATTCAGGCCAGAAAGTCATCCTGGAAACAAATGTTACTCCCTTCCCATTACGTAGAAAGACTTCATAACCTACATTAGAACACATATCTGGCACAAAGGCAACTGACTCCCACAGACTATTTTCTGGGGAGGGCATGGAATGTATTTGAAGGCCTCTATCTCAAATCAGTCATTATGTAACTACGATAATTAAACCACCTTATTTTAACAAACTCAATGTTCCTATGGAAACAGTGCTTTGGAGTGACCAGTGTTAGCTGCTAGTATCAAACATGACTATAATGATATAGCAACAATACTTTTTCTCCCACCTATCTCCAAACAAACCAACACCACCACACATAATAAAGAGCATACCATAAGCTGCTTGGCCTCAGTAAGGCTGGTTATAGCAAGCTCGATGCCAGTGACAGAACACCAAGGGGGAGAAGGAGGAAGGAGCCGACAGGGGAAAGGATGGAGAAAGGGTGTTCTAAAAATATAGGACTTTAGCTACACACATGATAATGTAAGCCAAAGGGGAGTGTTGAAGTTGTAATACACACTACGTTTGGACATAATACCACAGTAGATGGAAGTCTTAAAGATTCCTTCCTAAACCTCTTGTGCTAATTCCCTGCCTGGGATTAACACACACAGCAGGTTAATCGTAGAATCACAGGACATATACAACCACAGACGGATAGACAGATAGACACACACGTGGCCACATCCTTAACCCAGGAAAGTCTTAAGTCCTCAATTAGGATTTACAGCACAATACTTATTCTCTTATTTTCTGAATTGTTCCCCAAGTAGGCTACCATGTAATAAAAATCCACACTCTAAGTGGGGACCGAAGGACACCTTCAAATGCACTCTCAAGACCAATAAAATAATAAAACATACTAGCTGCTCCTTTTGCATTCCACTGCTTTGAAATCTCAGAACCACAGAGGTGATATCCCACAGAAAGGGCATGACTTCACTGTGAAGTCTCCAAAGGAACCTCTGCCCTTTTAGGTGCTACTCAAGTAAGAGCTCCTGGCTCACTGGTCCTCTAAAGTTGAAGCAGGGTGGTGATGTGCTAGGTAGCTACATGGGCAGGAGAAGAAATGGAGACGAATTCCCGGAGGATATTTTTGGCCATCTCGATGTTGTTGTGGGCAATGACCAAAGCCTTCTGAATGTCCTGGTAGGAGTACCCCTGATTCATGAGGTTCTCAATCTCACTGGAGAGCTGAGGCGAGGCAATGGTGGCAGCGGTGGCAGCAGTGGCAGTAGAAGCAACAGCACTACCTCCTTGCTGACAGCTACCTGCTTTTCGTTCAGAGTTGATTCTCCGAGGGAATGGTTTGGGGGGCCTCTCAGGAACTTGAGAACCCTCAGTAAAGTCTAGAAGAAATAGGAAAAGAATAATGTTTCCAAATCTGGGGGAGAACCCTCATTTAATAGCAGTAACAATAATAACAATGTGCTAATATCAAGCTACTAATGACCTCCTGTCAACTAGGTGCATGTGCTGTTCAGTTACAACTCTGGGTTTTACAGGTTCAAGGGTTTTAGAACAAGCCTCCTCCTTACCGTATTAGGAGCAACTTTCTAAATACACCATGCGTCTGTTCTACTAACCACCACCACTATCATAAATATGACACATCTGCTCATGCTTCACACTTAGCAACAAGTTTTCCCACACATAATCATTTGAATTATTATTTTTTTTAATTCTGAGAGGACCAGAGAAGATACTAAACTTCTACAAATAAAGAAACAGACAGAAATAAGCCTAAGGTGCAGGGAAGAAGCATTAGCCATGGTAGGGATCACTGCTTGTTTGGGCAATTGGATGCTGTATATGTTTTTCACCAGCTGTCCTGAAAGCTGTCTTCAATTTCCAAAGTGACAGCAACTCTAGCTGCTACCCTACCAGGCGGCCACAGGTGCAAGAGTAGCCCTTAATAGTCAAGGCCCAGTGTGGGCTGGCTTCAGGCCCATTCAGAATGTGTTCCAGAGCCAGTACGCCTCCTTTCAATGCAATGGGGCCCAGGAAAAAGGAATGCATGGTCTGAACCATCAGGCTTAATTAGCATGGTCACAAAGCATATTCAGAAGAGCTGGAAATCCTACCCACCCGTAGTACAGGAGGAGGTATGGTTTAAGGAACAACACCGTTTCTAAGTCTAGCAAAATTCTGAAGAGTTTGACTGTAGTTTAACTTTCTAATTTGCAACCCAGGACCAGCTTTCCTCCCACTGAGACATAATGTTTAGTCTACTACTTCCACATACTGACTTACTGCCACCAGGGGAGGTCATCTCTGTTTCAGTATAAATTAGGAGCCATATAGCAATTCAGGACAAACCAAGGGTAGTCTGGAGACTCACTTGTTGTGGGATCACCATCCAGAGACAACCAGCCAAAGGAGGAGCTGGCATTGGAGATATCTGAGAGAGTTCGGCGGGCCAGCACTGCTGGCACAGGTGGCTTAGGGACATCATACCCATCATCTTCATTTTCTGATTCCTCGGGGCCAGTGTTAGCAGGGGCTGCAGCCAAATTCCCTTTACCTGGAGAAAAGTTTGTGAAGCTGTCTTCTTCTTCTGATACACTTCATTTTCTAACACATTTCAATATAGGGACATCCATTCATTCATGCATGTATACAATCATTTATTTCATTCAATAGTTACTGAATGTCTACTGTGGGCCAAATACCACGTGAGGCCCTGTGATTGAAGAAACAGAAAATAAAATCCGCAGCAATCCCGCAGCTCTCTTTTTTGAACATGTCAAAGGCTACCCTTGCCAAAGTTAATAGTCACTGATGTCAAAGACTCAAGTGCCATTTTACAGCACACATTCAACATTTCTGTCTGCACTTCACTTCGAAGATCAGCCAAAGGGCCCTGTGTGTGCAGGCTTCTTGAACTTTCAACATGGTACACTAGTTAACATGAAAGTTGAATATTCACAACCCACACACAAAAGAATTCCATCAATGCAATGGAAATAAAAGGGAACTGCCAGCATTGCAGGTCCAGGCCATATAACACAAACGTCTCCAGGCCCTGGAAGGATGAAACAGCACCAAAGGAACTAGCTGTGTGAACAGGAAACAAAGAGGAGAGGGGCTTTACCGCCCATGGATCAAAGGTATTTTACAAAAAAGATAATTAAAAAGAATTTTCCACTTAGATCAAGCTATTTCATTAGTCAAATATTACAGGCTCATTCCTATGGCACATCAATGATTTTTAAAGTTGCAGAGTGGCTACTCACCAAAGGTGCTGTTCTCGGTGACAGATGGTGCCTGGGACTGAATATTATACATTGCTTCATAAGTACAGCTATCAATCTGCTGGTCACAATCACATGCTCTGAACCAGAAGGAAAGTGGCATAATGATCTTTGGAAATAGAACTGTTATCTACAAACTTATTAAGACTTATCTATTCACAAGCACCCTAGACCCTGATTCTATCAAGACAACACATTCTCCTTTTGCCAGTATCACTAATAAATGTCATAAGATTGACTCCTGTGATGAGTTATAGTTGTGTACATTGTTGAGGTTACTGTGATGCTAAGAAAACATAAGTGAGACTGCTTACAGCTATAAGAGACTTAAATATTAGGAGCTACACTTATTTTTCTGTTTCAATTCTGGCTGAATAACACTATGTGCAGGTAGCGAGCCAAGCAGGTGAGAGATATCAACTGAATTATCCACATAAAGATATTTAGCCCAAAACAGGGTTGTTATGAACCTACTGTGAACTCTGGGTTGTCTCCAATGGCCGTTTCAGCTCTGGCTTTTGAAGCCCTACAGGCCTAGAGGAGGGAGTCATATACTCTGTGTCTTCCTCACTTTCACACTGCTCCCCAGGTGGCAGTTTTGGCACAGGAAGAGGTCTGGAAGATGAAGAATAAAAAACAGAAAAAGAATTAACAAGCTGGAAAACTTTCAAGTATGAAATAAGTGGCTTTAAAACAGACACAACTAGGGCCGGCCCATGGCTCACTCGGGAGAGTGCGGTGCTGATAACACCAAGGCCCTGGGTTCGGATCCTATATAGGGATGGTCGGTTCACTCACTGGCTGAGCGTGGTGCTGACAACACCAAGTCAAGGATTAAGATCCCCTTACCGGTCATCTTTAAAAAAAAAAAAAAAAAAAACAGACACAACTCAAATTTGACAGAGCAAAATACATGCCATCTAGAGAACTATTATTTCCACTGACCAAGACAAAAATTAGTAAAAAGTACACCAACTAAAAATTTCACTTTCAGCCAACCAAAAGTGTGCTATTATGCTTGAGATATGTTACGCAGGGTTAGGCACCTGATACAAGTTAGTCCCGATCCCCAGGTAAGTTTCATAAGAGTCCCAGTTTCTCTTTCAGTAGGTATAAAATAAGAAACAACAGGTAGCTTTCTGACAATATGCTAGGAATGTATATCAAATCCCAGTTCTAAATCTACCTATGGGCTGGTTGGCTCAGTTGGTTAGAGGGTGATGCTGATAACACCAAGGTCCAGGGTTTGATCCCTATATCGGCCAGCAAACAAACAAACAAACCAAAAACCTACCCATGAATTCAAAAAATATATAGCTTGTCAAAACCTTTCTCATCAGTTACCTTACAGTATAAACACTTTTCTCCTCATTCTATGCAAGAGAAATCTAAAATAGAGATAAAGTGACTTAGCATTAATTCTGGGACTAGATCCCAGATCTTCTGACTCTTACTTCTGGGATTCTTGTTGTTACACCCATACATAACTTTCACCCAGAAGCTTTTGAAACAAAACTTCTCCTGCCACCCCGCCTCATGAAATGAGACAAATTAAAAAAAAAAAAAAAAAAAAAATACCCAACTAACTGTATAACACACACACACACACACACAGACACACAAAATTGCTTCTTAGAGTGTGAATGTATGAGTCTCTCTTTTCTTCCTCGTCACTTTTTTTTTTTTGGAATATTCTAAATACTCTACAAGGAACACCACTTGCATTTCTCTCTCTGTGTTTACTTAATGTTTCCTAATTATAAAAGCATACATACTTATTAGGAAACACTTAAGTATTACAGAAACTTGACACAGAATATGACAGTCCTCTATGATCTTACCTGAGATTTTTTGCTTATGTGTACATATTAGTTTTATCATTGAAAAATTACTCATATGTATGCTTTGTTAAAATTCCGCAAATATCCACTTAAGATTTATGTAATACATGCTAAAGTTCTGAGACAGAAGAATACTAGTATTTATAACTTGCTTTTAAAATATACCACAAAAGTAAGACGGATTGATGGATGAACAGAAGTACAGATAGATAAATGTGTGATAAAACAAATATACTAAAATGTAAATAGTAGAATCCAGGTGGTGAGCATATAGGTGTTCACTGTAAAATATTATATTACAATAAAATGTTGAGGAAAAAATGACCCATATTAAGAAAAAATACCAAGTATCCGTGAAGGTATAGGGAAATAAATGGGTACTTTCTTACACTGCTGTAGAAATAAGAAATTGATACAACTTTTCTGGAGTGTAACTCAACAAAAGTATTTAACCAAACATGCATACATACCCTCAGTCTCAGAAATTCCATTTCTAAAAATTTTCCCTAAGGAAACAATCAGGAATATTCACTATGACATTATTTCTAATACTGAATAAACAGGCAACAACCTAAATAGTAAATAATAGTGTAGTGAATAAATAAATTTTGAACCACATGTATGGCAATATACCTGAAGTCAGTTGTGTCTGTCAGTACTTTAGAGTTTCCAAGCAGGAGCCCCAGAGGCCTATTTCTACTTCTACCACAGTAGATCCTTATCTATTTTACAAACTGGGGATCCACTTAAGTCAGTCCTGCTGCTTTACAATCATTTGAAATAATTTGAAAATCATTGTAGTGGAAGAATATGCAATGACAGACAAAGATATTCAAGACACTCCTAGTGAAAAACAGCATCAACAATATGACTCCATATATATAAAAATGGCAACAAACTTACATCAAATTGCTAACAACTACTTTCTGACTCTAGGTAGTAAGATTATAACTTTTCTTTCTTCAATGTTGCTTATCTGTATTTTCTAAATTTTCTTAAATTAACACATATGACTTTCATAAAGAGAAAAGGGTCATTATAAGGCCAATCAAAAAATTTTAATTACAATTCTCTTTGTTGATGAAGTCAATAAAAATATAAAATTGTACCTCGTTCTCACAGAGTACTTGGCAATATATACTAAAAAATTTTAATTACAATTCTCTTTGTTGATGAAGTCAATAAAAATATAAAATTGTACCTCATTCTCACAGAGTACTTGGCAATATATACTTTTTTTTTTGACCAGTAAGGGGATCGCAAACCTTGGCTTGGTGTTGCCCGCACCACGCTCAGCCAGTGAGCACACCTGCTNTAAGGGGATCGCAACCCTTGGCTTGGTGTTGCCCGCACCACGCTCAGCCAGTGAGCACACCTGCTATCCCTATATAGGATCCGAACCTGTGGCCTCGGCGCTACCAGCGCGGCACTCTCCCGAGTGAGCCACAGGGCCGGCCCGGCAATATATACTTTAAAAGAAAGAAGGTATGGAAAACAACCAAGCAGCCAGAACATGAAAGGCCAAGATTCAAGAAGGAGAAAACACTGAAGTAAGCCTCATATTAGGGATTCTGAATCTGGGGTTTGAGGTAGTCTCAGTGGGCTAAGGAGAGAGAGTAGAATTTTGGCCTACCATGACAGCCAACACAAAAGGGGCCAAAAATCCTAGAGGAGAAAGTAGGCCTGAAATTCTGCCCACAATTTTCCCCAGAACTACTGCTAATCCCTAAACCATTTATGCATGGGGTTAGACTCTCAGAAACCAAGCAGAAAGTAGCAATTGAGGAGCTGAACAGATATTTTGGTTGTCTTGAAAATCTGCAGTACAGAGTTGGAGTTATCAGATAGCGTAAGAGCAACAGCTGACATGGTGAAAATGTCTAACATTCAGGAAACTGGAGTCCCAGAAGATGAGGAGAAAGAGAGAATGCACTATTCAGTCTATTTTAAGTAATACCGGCTGAGAACGTTCTAAAACTAATTAAAAACATCAAGGCACAAATTCAATAAGCTCTACCCACCTTAGAAATGATAAATATAAAGAAAACCACATAGGAACATCATAGTAAAATTGCTGGGAACCACAGAAAAAAAGGTCTTATAAATAGCCAGAAAAAGAAGCATTAACTTTAAAAAAGCAACATTAAGACTGAGAGCTAATTTGTCAACAGAAATAATGAAAGCCAGAAGGTAGTGGAATGATATTTTTAAGATACTAAAACAAAATAACTCCAGTTCAAAATACTGTACCCAGTGAAAATATCTTTTTTGAAAAGATAAAAATGAAATAAAGATGTTTTCAGTCAAACAAAATTTGAATCCTTTGATAGAAGATACACTAATTAAATTTTTTAATCTATTGATAGATGATACACTAAACAGACACACACACACACACACACACACACACACACACACACACACAGACACACACACACACACACACACACACACACACACACACACACAGAGAGAGAGAAGTTCTTTAAGCAAGCGGAAAAAGATTCCACATGACAAAACAGGACGAAATGAGGAGCACTGGAGGACAAATCTGTAGGAAATTTAAACGTCCAGGAAAGGTTAAGAGGAGCTGATATAAAGTAGACTTTAACAAGCCCAGAGCTCATACTGGAATATCTAGAATAACTATAACAAAAATAATAGAAGGAATGAAATGGTATAATAAAAAATACTTTAATCCAAAAGAAAGCAAGAAATAAGAAAAAAAAAAAAAAAAAAAAAAAAACCCAACAACAAAAGATTGGAAAAATGGAAAAAACAGTAGGACCAAATACTCATATTCCAAGTATTTTAAGACAAGGAATGCCAGACTGAATTTAAGAGAAAAATAACAAACAACCCAACAAGTATATACTGCTCAGCAGAGACATACTTAAGTATAAGGACACAGAAAAGTTGAAGGTAAAAGGATGGAAAAAGATCGTGCAAATACTAACTAAAAGACAGCTGATGTAGTCATTATACTATAAGATAATGCAGACTTAAGGCAGGCAAGAAGAACTACAAAGTAAAAGAGGAAATCTCCTCATTAAAGGTAATGAAAACTCTTACCATTTAGCATCAGTAATTCTAAATTTTATGTACCCTAATTACATAGACTACATACATATACAACACAAATAGACAAAACTAAAAGGAAATGAGAAACCCACAATTACAGAGGGAGAATTTAACACATTCCTCTCATTTATCTGATAGAACAGGTAAATTAAAAAAAAAAAAAAATCAGAGGGCTGGCCCATGGCTCACTTGGGAGAGCGTGGTGCTGACAACACCAAGTCAAGGGTTAAGATTCCCTTACCAGTCATCTTTTAAAAAAATAAAAAATAAAATAAAATATAAACGAGAGAGACAATTTGAACAGAATTAACAAACCTGACATATTGTTGACAATACTAACATATACAGAATGCTACACCCAACAATCACATAACACAGTCAGTCGTTCCCTGGTTTCTGTGGGTGGTTGGTTCCAGGATACCCCCCCTCCACATACATATAAAAATCCCCAAACGCTCAAGTCCCTTATATAAAATGGCATAGTAGGTGCATATAACACTTCCTCCTGTATAGTTTAAATCAGCTCTAGATTATTGTTAACACCTAATACAATGCTTACACATCACTTCATTTGTGTAGATTCAATACAGTACTTGGTGCACAGCACATTCAAGTTTTGCTTTTTGGAACTCTGTGGAATTGTTTTTCCCTGAGTATGTTCAATCCGAGATTGGCTGAACTCATGAACGCAGAACCCACAGATAACAGAGGGCCAATGGTACATTCTCATTAAATGAAGGTGGTACATGTTACCGGATTTTACCATAAACCAGTCATTAAAAAATTTGGTTTGTGACCGCAATGGAAAGAAGCTCGAAAGCAGTAACAGGATAACTAGAAAATCTTCAAATGTTTGAAAATAAGGCAACATATAAGTAACTTGTGAATCAAGAAATCACAATTGGAAAAACACATCTATTCTGATTTCAATTGTAATGAAAATATGATATATCAAAACTTGTGGAACGCCAATAAAGCATCTGGTATGGACTGAATGTCTGCATCCCTCAAAAATCCATGTGTTGAAGCCATAACTCCGAGTGGAGCTATATTTGGAGATGGGGCCTCTAAGGAGGTAAAGTTGGATGAAGTTATGAAGGTGGGTCCTTGATCTGACAGAATTAGTGTCCTTAGAAGAAAAGGCACTGGAGAGTTTATTCTTTTTCTCTCTGTCCGTTCACACACACCAAGGAAGGCTATGTGAGGACACAGAGATGAGAAGGCAGCCATCTACAAGCCAAAATGAGAGCCCTCGCCAGAAACCGACTATGCTGGCAACCTGATCTCAGATTTCTAGGCTCCCAAACTATAAGAAAATAAATTTCCACTGTTTAAACCACCCAGTCTGTAGCATTTTGTTACAGCAACCCAAGCAGACTAATAAAGCATTCATCTCAAGAAGCTAGAAAAATAGCAAATTAAACCTAAAGAAAATTAAAATAAAGAGCAAAAAGAAATGAAACAGAAAGCAGATACTTGATAAGAAATTTAAAAAAAAAAACAACACCAAAATTGCTTATTTGAAAATATTAATAAAATTAACAAGCCCCAGCAAAAATGATCTATATACATGTATTCAGAAAAAAAGAATGGAAGGAAATATTCCAAAATAAAATATGAACATTTCTATATGGTTCAAATACAGATCAATTTTTATTTTCTTCTTTATACTTCTCTGGGTTTTCTAAATTTTCTATAAATAAGCTGTTTAAAAGTACCAATTCTTCTGTATGAAATATTGTTTTACTAAACATACTTACCTGGCAGCCAGAGAATAAATGGCATTAGCAGATGAGGAAGGTTTGATTTTGGGGTGCTCACACTCTGGACCTGCTAATGGGCTGCTATTCATATTCTGGAAAGTAAAGAAAAGCACTGAAAAATAACTTCCTTACAACAGCTAAGTATCTCCTTTTACTTACTGAACCTATTCAAAATAACAACAGTAAGGTATAGACACGGATCTCACTCTCAATTCCATGCCTAGGGGCTATCACATCTGACAAAAGCATAATTGCTGGGCCGGCCCGGTGGCGCACTGGAGAGTGCGCCACTTGGGAGCGCGGTGGTGCTCCCGCCAAGGGTTCGGATCCCATGTGGAGACCGGTTCCTGCTCACTGGCTGAGCGCGGTGCGGGCGCAACACCGAGGGTTGCGATCCTGTTACCGGTCAGTAAAAAAGACAAAAAGGAAAAAAAAAAAAAAGCATAATTGCTTCTAGGCTCTAAGAATGTTCAAATGTAAGGGTTAGGGAGACAGAGACCTAGAAAGAGCGAGGGAATGGTTTTGTGTTTTTTTGGGTTTTTTTGTTTGTTTTGTTTTTGTGGCTGGCTGGTAGAAACAGGTGTTTTCATTTGTTTTAATTCTAGAAAGATTTGAGTGAATCGGCTGTCTACAAAAATACCATTTCTGGCTTAAATATATCCAAACTCAGAATGGTCATTCTATATTGATGGCATTAGAAAATCAAACCTAATCCATTCTCATTAATTAGACTGCCTATCACATAGGTGCCACCTAAATGTTACCCTCCCCTTTCCTTGCAATCAAAAAATATGCCATTCATCTGAGTGCATGACATCCCTCAACTTCACCCTTCCCATTCTATCTCCTTAGATTTCCAAGTACATACTTGGTAATTCTTCCTTTAGTGGCTCATCTCGAATCCAACATGTCGCTAGTTAACCAGTGTGTGAGTGAATGGGTGATTTCTCGTCTTTTTTCCTACCCACTGACTGCTTTCAAGCCTTAATAAGTTTTCGTTTCATGCTCTCTTAAGGCTCTACCTAATCTGGCTGCTTACTTCTGCTCACAGACGATTCTCCCTCCTGCTCACTTAGCACCAGCTACACTAAAACCCTTTGTCCTTCATCTTGGAAGATCTTCCCCCAGGAGCAGCACAGTTCCCTCTCCCCTACTGCTTTGGGTCTTTGCTCAAAACTGTAACCCATCCCTTCCTGTACCTCCCAGCCCAACTCCAGATCTCCCTATACTCCTCCCTTCTTTGCGTTACTTTTCTCCAAAGCACTCACCATTGTGAACATACTATATATTTTACTCAACTTGCTTATTTTCCATCTCCCTCCCACTACAATACAAACTGAGGGCAAGACTTTCTGTTGAATGCATAAATGAGCCAACAAAAGAACAAATTCCTTCCCACCCCCAGTTCTGAACCCCTTACAGGGTCATTCTTAGACAAAGAACCGCTAAGTTGCCTTTTTTCAATCTATTCTCTTTTCAGTCTATCCTGTATACTATTTAATATTAGATTAATTTAATTCATCATTTTGGTCATGTCATTCCACTAACTTAAAACCTTCAAATGCTCACTTCCTACCAAATAAATTCAAATTCTTTTGGGAGTGGGTATTCACAGCCCTCTAATCTATTGCTAATCATTCTTTCCAGCCCTTTTTCCTATTCTGATACATAAAATTTCCATTCTACTCAAATAATCTACTCATCATTTCATAGTACACCTTAAGTATTTCTGTCATTGTGGCTCTGATATATCTTAAAACTATATCCATTTTCCAAAGAATACTTCAGATTCAGATGTCACTTTTTCCATAAAGCCCTCATGACTGCTCTATCCGGAAATAATCTCTCCTTTCTCTAAAAATTAAGCATTTTCTAATTATACCACTTCTGGAATTTATAAAAGGACATTTACTGCAATATTTACAGACTGTCTTATCTGCTCTATTAACATATATACTTTTTGAGGGTAGGGATTATGTTATATTATCTCTGAATTCTGTACAAAACCAATCACAATATTTTGACCCATAAAATACCATTCATAAATATTTAAAAGGCTAAATAATTTCAACATTAGGACTCACCATGGAGGTATCCAGACTGAATGTGCTCCCAAGCCTAGGCACATCTGCTCTGGGTTCCATTTGTGAGGGCAATGAAAATGGAAGTGAGTGCCGGTTGGTTAATTCTCTTCCTATCCAGGGATCACTGGGGCTTGGGGCAGCTACTGGTACTTTGGGGATTGGTCGGGGCAGCCATGAGTCCCCAAGGCGGCTAGAGGGGACAGGGGGCAGTTTGTCTCTGGCTGGACAATCGCCTGGTGTACAAGGTAGGGGGCGTCTCTGAGGCCGGGTTTCTGCTCCAACAGAATATGGCCGGTCTGGGGGGGGTGGCGGTGGAAGATCTCGAAGTGTGGGAGGCACTGGCAATGGTTTGTCCTTATGAAGGGAGACAGAAGCAGCCTGTGAAAGCATGATGGAAGTAAATCAGTCAAAACCTACTGCACAAAGAATCAGAAAACTACAGAACTGGATAATGCTTTACCTTAGGAGCAGTTCCAAGACCAGAAGCACTTGAAGTAACAGATACTCGCTGCTGCAGAAGGTCAAGTCGTGGTGGCACTGGGGGAAGAGAAGCTTGTGGAGCCATGGAGAATGGAGAAGGAGGCCTTTCCACCTACAACAAATAAAACTTAACAGGTTACTCTTGTCTGGAGAACTGGTATCTTTCAACTCCTCCAAAGCTTTAGATGGCAAATACTATGTGAACACTAAATATAACTACCAATGGGTCACACTCAGGCTTAGGTCACACAAACTCCTCTTAAACTCAGAAACTTACAGAGATTCTAACACTTGCTGAATTATTTTTGTGTCACCATAAGAGGGCACTCTCAATCACAGAAATACCATGCAGATGGCAAGCTACATGCAAATGTATCTGCAAATGGCAGCGCTACAGGAACCTTCCTAGCTTGCAATTTTAAAAAATTATTACAATTTTCTATCTACTCATCTTTGAGGGAAAAAAAGTCTTTTCAAGATTAAAAATAGGAATCCATATACAAAGAAAGGGGCAGACATTAACCTCTCAACAAATCACCTGGGAAAATAATGTTTAAGAGGCAGAATAAGGAAAGAGATCAAAGATGATAAATTCTCTGTGGGTTATTATGATAAAAAGGAAAAAAAGGGGATTTTTAAGAGGAACTTTATTAACAATATCACTAAAAAGCATCTTGACTCCTTGCAAAGAAATTATTTCAATTCGATAATCAAAAGAGATGAATATATCCATAAATTTGCATTCTAAAAAAATGAAGACTATACTTTCAGGGATCATTTCTATAGTTTGTTACTACAGAAGTTTCTTTGAATGTGCAGGGTGCCGAAAACCATGAGGAGGAGGCACACTGTTCTCTCCTGAGCGTGAAGCAGGCACTTGGTGTTGTTTTGCTGCAACTATCATTTGCCACTGATGATCGTTCTTCTCTTCCTTTAGAAGAGTTAGAGGGAAAGAACACAGTCTGAGGGCTTCAATGAAATAAAAAATGAAGTGCCAAATTAGAAGAAACAATGCGTGTATAAATAACCTTTTCCATTTCCCTGCCTACAGCAGGGTGAGATAGCAGATAAGCTTGTCAAAGTAAGCTGCCAAGAAACTTACAGTAATTCATACAAAACGCTACTCTGCATTTGCATTCCTCAACAGGAAGCAACACTGATGGACTACAGGCAAATATATATTATAATCACTTATGCAAGATGACAGAAAAACAACTATCCCCATACTTAGTCCTGTCATTAGTGCTGCATGGTGAATGAAGGAAAAGAAAGCCCTCATCATTAGCTATTGCTTTTATGCATGCTTAAGAAAATGGGCTCCATGTCAGCTGACAATGCTGCAGGAGCAGCTAGACATCTCAAGGATTAAGAAAGTCGAAAATTATTAGTCAACAAAAAAGAGAAAACAATAAAAGTTATTAGTCAAGCTAACTTACTTTACCAATATCTTGTCAGTCCCTACACCCTGCTGATTTTTCCCTAAAAGAATCTCATATTCTTACCTTCCTTTTTATTCTACTTACTAGCCTCAGACCTAATTTACTAAAAAAATTTCTAATGATTCTCTCGACTTATAATTTCTTATTTCACCAAATCCTACTTACCCCTACTGGTTTGGCTATCCTCACAAACACAAAAACCATTAGTAACTTGTCACTTCCCATGTCATAAAATCTCACTCTCCTGCCTGGCTTTAGCACATCTGTCTAATCTGGTCTTCCCAGCCAACAGTATTTCCCACATCTCCCTGACAGGTATCATTGCTGCTCTAACCAGGCTCATCCCCTCAGTGTTTTCTGCATGTGCTGATAACACCAAGGTCAAGAGTTTAGATCCCCATACCGGACAGTCACCCCAAAAAAAAAAGTGCTGGAATGTCTGCTCACAGATCCTGGTTCAACTTACCAGCTATGTGATCTTTAGCAAATTCCTTAACCTCTTTGTTCCTCGTTTTTCTCATTTGTTAAATGAGGATAATAATACTACTTATCCATACGGGAATTATAAAGATTATATGAGTTAAAATAAGTGTTTAGCACAATATCTGTCACATAGTAAATGCTCAATAAATATCAGCTATTATTACCCCTTGTAGTTTGGGTGTCATTAACTGCTCTATGGCTTTAGAATACAACTCATATTGGCAGTCTCCTAAATTGCAGTCTTACCTTGGCACCAGCCAATTCCTTCATCATGAAGAGAGAATCATCAGCTCTTTCATCGTCATCATCATCATAATTTGGGGAAGGGGCTCCCTCTGCTCCTTGCCTCAACAGGCTGCCACTTCCTCTAGGATCAAACGGATCCACCACAATGGGCTCAGTACCTTTAATTTCACATCGGCAGAAAGGACAACCCTGACCTTCTGATTCCTGCAGAGGAAACAGAAGATGGTAACAGACACATGAGAAGGTGCATAAAATATTTATCTACTAGGAAATACATTTCCTAGAGATAAAAAAAGAAATTAAAAGTTGAAACCTACCTCATAAGCCAGGTTACCCTTTATATCTGTAAAGGATATTTAATATCCAATTCTTCTGAGTGATTAAACAGCTAAGAAAATGCATGGTTTGAATCCATACCTGCCAGGATGTAAGACAGGATGTGCACATGAGGTGTCCACAGGGCTCAATCTTTACATCCTTATCATTTTCAGCACATATTTTACACAGTTGGAATGTGGAGCCCATCTCACAGTATAATTCATATTGTTCCTTTGATTAAAAAAAATTAAGAGATTTGTTGCATGAATGAATGAATAAATGAATGAATGAATGAATTACTACAACCGTAAACACTAACAGGAATACTGAAGACTATTAATTTCTATACAAATTTTTGCTCATATAAAAATGTCACAACAGTGGTCAATATTCTCCCATTAAACCAGAAAGCATCTAGTCTTGGTCCTATTCTAAGCCGCATGGTTTAAACCACACACACACACACGCACACACACACACACACACATCCACTAATCTAATCAATGGTTTGAAATCAAAGTGTTCTAAATACTTAATTCAATTATACTGTCATTTCTATAAAATATATGCTATATATCCAGTGATATGGTTATACATGAAACAAAACTCACCTGGGTCACTTTGATGTGGTCTTGGGGAGTTGGTTCACATAAGCCTGTCAGGTCAGGATTCTGGTTACGTCCATCAGGAAACAAATAGCTGTCAAAAGAGTAATCAACACCTTGAGATTTTATGGAAGCCAATTTATCAGTACTTGCTAATACAGACAAATGATATCTAGGAATTCCCCCATTTTAAAAGGGCAACTTTGTGTAAGTGTGAAGGTAAATCTTCCTAATACTTCAAAAAATAAATAATATAGAACAGTTTCAAGAAGATATTCTCCAAACACTGATATTCCTTCTCCAAAGCACAATGCCATAGGCTCTATCTTTTAAATGAGGAGTTGGCAAACTTTTTCTGTAAAGGGCCAGAGAGTAGACAGGTTAGGCTTTATAGGCCACATAAGTCTGTGTCACATATTCCTTTTTGTTTTTGTTTTTTAAATAACATTTTAAAAAGAAAAAATTATCTTGACTTGCAAACTGTACCAAAACAGCTAGTCCATGGGCTGTAGTCTGCCAACTTCTATTTTAATCAGTGGATGGCCACCAGATATAAATTTTTAACTTATCAAATGAAAATCAATTTGAGTTTCCCCCCAAAATAGCAATTCTAGAATAAATAAGAACTTAGTCATAAATATTAGCATAGGTTACAAAAGCCCAAAGCCTGAAGAGATGCTACTGAACCAAGATGAAGTTAGGATGAAGGCAGATGAAGGCAACTGAGGCCTGCTGTCATTAGGAATATCAAATCACTCTAACATTGGCTAGTTAAATAACTGGTAGGGCCGGCCTGGTGGCGCACTGGAGAGTGCGCCACTTGGAAGCGCAGCGGCACTCCCGCCAAGGGTTCGGATCCCATGTGGAGACCGGTTCCCATTCACTGGCTGAGCGCGGTGCGGGCGCAACACCGAAGGTTGTGATCCTGTTGCCGGTCCCCGGTACAGGCGCGACACCAAGGGTTGCGATCCCGTTACCAGTCAGTAAAAAAGATAAAAAGGAAAAAAAAATAAAACAAAATAACTGGTAAAATTTCCTGCTAATTGATATATTTTTGAATCTAATATAGACCTGAAAATAAGTTAATATTTAGAAACAGAGAAAGATAAAGTCTACTCTTGGTAATAACTGAAGCAACAGAGAAAAATAATTCCACTCACGGAATCACTATCAAAAAAAACCAAAAGTCCTATAGAACCTGAAGGTCAAATCAATAAAACCTGTTAATAGGTTTCCTGAATCTTAATTTGTAGAAGAACTTGGAATAAAGTCGTTAATGGTGAAGTTTTACAGCCCCTAAGTTCCTAGACCCTAGCAGACGATAAGCAGTAGGTACTCACAAGCCTTCCCTGAAGCCATCAATCAGTGCTTGGAAGAGAGGTTTATTGTGGGGGATTGTCTGGAGAATGTTCCCATCAGCAGTAACATACCCAATAGCCCACTGACCCAGACGAGTGCAGCTCAGCCGGAAGATGTAACTGAGAACAGAGATAAATACAATCTTTAATATATATGCTGGTACTAGGGTAGAAGGCAAGACAGAGACAAAAATTAAAAGGACCATCAAGAATAACTTCTTCAATTACTCCAAACCAGAAGCAAAAAACACATAAACCAAATTCTTAAATGGCTTCAAAGCATTTATTAAATCATCAGATCTAAATAAGTCAATTCTGCTGATAAACAGACATCAATTTTATTGCAGAATCTTGGTCATTGGGGAACTAATAAAAGATCATGTTTCTTCTGTTCTAGCAGAAGTCACAAGAGAATAATATTCAGGAGAATAAATTTCTTTGCTTCATTTCACTGACCTGCCAGGTTTGTGAATGAATTTCTGGAGCCGAGCTTTCACTTCATCATACGTCAGGAAAGCCATGTAACCAGGATGAGTTACAGCAAGGCTATTCCAATTCCTGAGCAAAGAGGACCATGGCTAAAGAAACAAGAGATCAAGCACAGACTGTTCATTTGGCTCAAGACATACAATCAGCCTCAGAGGAATGAAAAACAAAAGAAAAAACAACTCCAATGCTGAACTGTAAATTCTCAATTTATTGTCACAAATTCTCAATTATACTGTCACTCTGAGGGAAGACAAACATGTTTGGGAGATAAAAACTTAGAAAAACTAAGAAGAAAAGAATATATGCCTATAGGGAGAAACTTAACCATACAAAACGAAATTCCAGAAACTAAAGCAGCTCTAACCAACAGTAGTGGTTAACAACAAACAAAAAAACAGAAAAACAGGATAGGGCCTACATGTGCAACTAATGAGTTCCAAAGAAATGTTGATGCAAGTTGGCCTATACACACTGGAGAAAGCATTATTTTTAGAGAAAGAAAGAACTAAGTTCTTTTTGAAGCATCCACACATCTCAACATCAACAGTCAAGAATTTCAATACAATAGAAGAAAAAGTTGGAAACATATGCAAATGTCCTAAAATAAAAAACTGATAAAGGGGCCAGCCCGTGGCTCACTCAAAAGAGTGTGGTGCTGATAACACCAAGTCAAGGGTTAAGATCCCCTTACCAGTCATCTTTTCTGAAAAAAAAAAAAAAAAAAGATAAAATATGTTATATTACTTCCGGTCAAGATGGCGGAACAGGCGGTCCCTAGAGTCACTCTCTCCCACAAATCAACCGATTTAAACTATAAAAACGTAACATCAAATGCATATGGAATGGGGAGACATCCAGTGGGGGAGGCAGAAGCTCCATGGAGACCACATGCCCTGTGGGGCCACCACTGCATGGCAGATAGGCCTCACCGCCGCCACCCAGCTCCATTCCCAGCCCAGCCCAGTGCCACAGAGTGGGGAAACATCCGGCAGGGGAGGCGGAGGATCCGCAGAAACCACACACCCTGTGGGGCCACCACTGCGTGATCCAGCAGGTAGGCTTCACCGCAGGCACCCGGCTCCATTCCCAGCCTGGCCTCGTGCGCTCGGAGCAGGGAGACGTCTGGCAGGGGAGGCGGGAACTCCATATGGACCACACTGCTGCCGCATGATCCAGCAGCCTGGCCCAATGCGTACGGAGCACAGAGATGTCCAGCAAGGGAGACAGAAGCTCCATAGAGTCCACACACCCTGTGGGGGGGCTGCTGCCGCACGATCCAGCAGCAGGTAGGCTTCACCGCCGCCACCCGGCTCCATCCCAAGCCCAGCCTAGCACACACAGAGCAGGGAGACATCCAACAGGGGAAGGGGAAGCTCTGCAGAGACCACACGCTCTGAGGTGCCTTGGCGCATCCCAGCAGCCCGGGCCAGAGCGCACGAAACAGGGAGAAGTCCAGCACAGGAGGTGGAAGCTCAGCAGAGACCACACACCCTGTGGTAC